GGGGTGTGTTCAACTAGTTCTTCTAGATTTGCAGAACTTATCGCCTCATTTAACAAATCGTAGTTTCCTTTGTTGTATAACCATATGTCCCTTTTAAAAGACGCTTGCTTTTTCATTGTTGAGAGCACGTGACAGTAGACAAGGGAGTGGTGAGATGTCCCTATTGGATCTTCGGTTCCTTGATCAATAACATTTTCGGGCGAATCGGTGATTATAACATCTAGTTGGTTCTGGGAATTAGGAAGTATGTAGGTCGGTTCGTCTATTATTTGGTCAATACCCATCGCATTTAGCAAGTCAACCAGGGTATGTTTTAGTTCACTATTTTCGTGAGAATCAGACCAGTTTTTGCATCTATCGTTTAAGTCTCCAAGTATGAATATGGATATTGGATTTTGGTCTTTAATGCGCAGGATTGATTCTTGGAAAGATTCTATGAAGTTTTCACGTGTCACTCTTGTCTGGTTTGGAGGGCGGTAGCACACCCCTATGAACGACGATGCGTGCATGTTGTGCTGAAGTTCGAGCCACATTAATTCAATGTGGTTGTTTTCCAATTCAAAACGTCTTTTGACAGGGAGGCCGTGCTTATAATAGACTCCTACTCCCCCGCCGATAGTTTCTCTTTCTTTGCTACTGAAATCGTAGCCATTGATTTCAATTGAATTTACGTCGTAACCTTGCTTGAGCCAGGTTTCCGTGATGCAGATAAAGTCAAACCCTTTACTAAGACATAACCTTGTTTCGATTTCGTCGATTTTGAAGTTTGCAGGTTCAAATGTGTTAGGGCCCCCTGTTTTTATACTTTGAATATTGATATGGCACAGTTTGATAACGTTGGGCGTTGACATTTTAGAAAAAAAAACAAAAAAACAATATATGCTGGTCAATTGGTTGCTATGGTAACAGAAATCATTTCTTAAAAATTGCACATCAAGGGGGTACTATGTATAATTCCCAGAATATTTAATCAATCATCTTGATATTTACAGGTAATCATCTGCTTATCATGTCCTACCAGTATGACAAGTACAATCAATGTTGGTCAATTGGTTGCTCTGGTAACAGAAATAATTTGTTAAAAAGTGCACATTAAGGGGGTACTATGAAAGCCATGTATAATTCCTAGAATGTTCAATCAATCATCTTGATATTTACGGGTAATCATCCGTTTACATGTCCTACCAGTATAACAAGTGCCTTCAAGGTTGGTTATTTGGTTGCTATGGTAACAGAAATCATTTGTTAAAAGAGTACACATTTTCGTAAAAATCTAAGACTCATGCAACCTTTGACATTAAGCACATAATATGTTCATCATTTTGGGAGAAATAAGCATGGAAACATTTCATAAAACTTATCACATTGCATCAATCACAACAGTGGACGCTTTATTGCCATCACTGGTCAGCAACGGACATGTTTTACACTCAGAGTAATACATGCTGTTGTTCTCAACTTTTTTATGTCTTCTGGTTTTTTCAACTGCTCATTGTTTTTAGAATTCATTAAGAAGCATTTCCAGTATTTTTAATTGGGTGTAATAGTTGTATATATCTCTTAGTTTGTTTATTACAAGTGACATGGTAACTTGTTGATGGCAAAATAGAGCCAAATTGGCCAGACCAACCCATATTACCTGATGATCTCATAGACATATAGTCACATAAAGATTGCAACGGATGCTTTGACAGAAGTAGACATTGAAAGATCTATGAATGAGGATTTTGATGCAAATGATATAAAAGATGACTAAGTGAGATCAGCTCATAATTTACTATGTCCCTACGCATAATGTGACAGCCGCATTCTGCATAGTTTTATTATCATAAGCAAATACAATACATCAAATGGCCCAGATGAAGTATGCATTGATTAAATATTATCAGACATACTCAAAATAGGTTTTTTAAATGTTTTCATGCTAATTCCTCCCAATTTGATGAAGATTTTCAATGTCTTAGGGTGTGTCTTAAAATTTTACGAAATGTGTACTTTTTTAAAGGCCCCATGTAAAGTTTAAACCACTTTGGCTTATATTGTAGTCTTACCCAATGTTATCAAAGTGTGATATGCGAAACTTTTTTTTTTAATTTCAAAAAGTGGTTTTTGATAGACTTTTTGTTCCAAAATTTGTGAATTTATTTAAAACCAAGAGGTCACTCATATCTTCTAATTAGGCACAATTCATACCAATGCATAGCATACATCCTCCCATGTTTTTTGCCGAAAAAATTAAGAAAATTGGTTGATAAACAAGCGAGAAATGAACTTATCAGTGCATGAAAATGGTTCTGAGAAAAATGCATTTCAAAATTTCAGTTCTCATAGAAACCAATGGTACAATGATATCTAAAACATAATTTATTCTTCCTTTTAACCTGGTTAGACAATCAACATTGGTTTTTTATGAAAGTCTAGCATATTTAGAAAAGATTGACATCGAAAAAAAAAATTCAATTTTTTTCAAAAAGTTTTTGTTACCTTAGTGACATCACTAATGTTTCAAAATATTTTTGATAAGCTAAAACATTGAAGTGGCCCATTAGATATGACATTTTATTATTGAAATAGTGTGTCTTTTGTTCAATCTTTGCTTTGGTGTTAAAAAGATAATCTTTTTTGAAATGCATTAACACGCCCGGTGATCGTGAATATGGGACGGAGGGGGGAGCAGGCAATTTCTGCTAGGAAATTCAACAAATCTGGAAGATTTATTTTTTCAAGAAAAAGTTTACTATTGAATTGCTAAATGGATAGGCGCACGGTATGGTAGAATATGTTAGGTTTTCTGGGATTTTTTCTGAAACGATACGCATCTAAGGTATGAGATCTATTAAAAAAGGCGCAAGGCCATCAACAGGCACAAATCAACGTTTTTGCTATAAATCAAGCAACAATGGACTACACGACCTGTAATAAATACTTGTAAGTGATGTTATCATAACTAAATTAATGTCATTGCTGAATTTATAAAATAAGTTTCATACGTAAAATAAAAAATAATCGAAAATAATTAAAATGGGACGGAGGGGGGGAGGGGACGGAGGGGGGAGTTATAATTCTATAAAGTGAAACAACTTCACACGAATTCTTGTATTTGAAAAATGAACTCATTAACTTAGTAAGAAACTGGATGATATACCCCTGGAGACTGAAAAATGGGGACATTTGGAGTAAAAGGACTTAAAGTCGCGAAACATCTCTAATCATGTCTTATATACATATACAAGTTGTGAGCATTTCATTTCTCAAATATTCAAATTTCCCGCCATTTTTCAAAAAAAGTTGAAATTTCTTAATCATCAAATATTTCTTAATCACGCCCGGTGATCGTGAATATGGGACGGAGGGGGAGCAGGCAATTTCTGCTAGGAAATTCAACAAAAATGTTGTTCAAAAATCTCTAAAATCACTTTTTAAGTCCTGACAAATAGTAAATGAATGATAAAAAAATATTTTCAAACTTTAGACGGGGACTTTAACAACTAGATTTCTACCTACATTTGACCCACATTGATGAAACTTGTCATCATGGTAGGACATGATAAGTAGTAGATTGTCTGTAAATATCATAATGATTGTTTTGATATTTAAGGAATTATAAATTGCTTTCATAGTACGCCCTAATGTGTACTTTTTAACAAATGATTTCTGTTACCATAGCAACCATTTGCCCCGCATTTATGAACTTTGTCATAGTGGAAGAACATGGTGAGTAGATAACTATCTGTCAATAACAAGATGATTGGTTAGATATTCTAGGAATTGTATATGGCTTTCATAGTACCTCCCTTAATTTTTACTTTTGAAAAAATGATTTATGTTTCCATAGCAACCAATTGATACACTATGATGAAAATTGGCATGGTTGTAAGACATGATATGTAGACGCTTACCTGTAAATATCAAGATGATTGGCTGTATATTCTAGGAATTATAGATGGCTTTCATTGTACCCCTATTAAAAATCATACCAAGGGGTATAAATCTGCATACTATAGTAACCAGTAAACCAACACTGATGAAACTTTCCATGATAGTCAAACATAATGATGTGAATAATATCTGTAAATAACAGGACAATTGGTTATTTATTTTCTTCAAAAAATTGGACACAAGTTAAGAATTCTTTGGAAAAGTGCCACGTCCCCTTTCTAAATTAATTTGCATTGCCATATAATCATGAGTAATAGATTTCACTGTGTGGATAAGATAAAACAGCACTTGATTTAATATTATCAAACATACTCTGAATAAGTTTTCTAAAATGTTTTTATGGTGTTTCTTTCCAATTTCATTAAAATAATATGTGTTTTGTCTCATGGGGTGTCTTACATTTTGACGAAATTGTGTACTTTTTGACATATGATCTCCGTTTCCATAGCAACCAGTTGACTAACTTTGATGAAACTTATTACTTTTGTAGGACATGATAAGTACCTGATTACCTGTAAATATCAAAATGATTGGTTGTAAATTCTAGGAATTTTACATGGCCTTCCTAGTACCCCCCTCAAAATCAAACAAGGGGGGTATAAATCTGAATATTTCCAAAACGCTGAAAAACTAGACACCAGTCTTTTCAGAATCAATGTAGAATCATAAACAAATTACCTACATAAAGAGAAATTTGCTATTTTTCAAAACCACTTTTACACCACGCTCTTCCATTATAAGGCTTTAGCAGACCATGTGGTGCTGTATATGCTGGACATTTAAACTGACCAAATTAGCACTGATTGGCTGAGCTGTGACAGCTTAATAAATAGCTTCATCCTGGGTTTCTACTAAACAGAAAAGGCCTTTAAGAAATTTTCAAGATGGCAGCTATATTTTAAAATGGCCACCATTTTTCGTAAACAAGATGGTGGCTGTTCTTCAAAATGGCCACCATTTTTCATAAAAAATGTAATCTTTTGTGGGATGTTAGATTGTAGTTGATTGTATGGGATACTAATGCCAAGAGTGACATTATGAATGCAAATGGTTTATTGCAGAACCATGCAGCTGGATGCCAGGGTCCAATAGATGAGGAGGAAGATGACAACTCTGCTCCACAACCGCAGGAGATGCCTAATAACCAAGGTACAAGACAACAGCCACATAGCAACAAAGATGTACGAGAACAGTCACAACAACACCAGAGTGATGATAATGATACAGAGGGATATGGAGATGAAAATGTACATGTATGTACATTTGATCATATCAACAACTGAGATTGCTGCTTGAGGGAATTTGAAAAGTATTTCTGGTCGATTTATCGCGCCTTGTTTGTGTAAAATTACTACTCTATGTGAGCCTTAAGTCCCAGAGGTTTTTAAATTGGGGATTGAGGTGAGGTTCTTATGGCATTTAGATTTGCCGTAAAATTAAAAGGAAAAAGTACAAAATGTTCAACCTTTAGGAGTCTTGTCAGTTTATGCCTAAGACTACAGTTTTATGTGCATTTTATGTATTAATCTAGGAAACATGTGCCAACCGAGCAAGAAGAAAAGCAGGACATGCTGCTACTACTAGACAAAGTCTCAGTAAACAACACAGTCAGGGTCATTCACAAAATACTAATCCTACCCAGTAAGCAGGATTTCTTAATTTGTTGTTTTATTTTATAAATTACTTTCCAAATTAATTTTTCTGATTGTTGTCTATAAATAGTGTAACGTTGGCTATTGTATGTATTCACTAATCTGTATCCTATTGTAATGAGGAAACATGCATGAGTGGCTATTGTGCCATTTGTATATACTGTATGTTCCAGCAGTACATCAGACAAGGCCAGTAGACCAAGACAAGTGAAGACAAGGTAGGCATACCTAGATATTCATGTGCTTTGAACTTTTGGTGTATAAGTAAAATCTCTCCACTGCAGATCTTTTACCACCAAAAACTCCCCACCTCTCATACCTTTCAAATCGATTTCGCCACCTCTTAAAATATATACCCTCTGGTCAAAAAAAATCTGTGCGTCGTCATGCAATGCTCATAACTTTTGATAATGGAAACCGTACAATTTCATACCTTCAGGGTTTAATGCCCTATATGTACCAAAGATGTGTGTAAAATTTGGATAAAATATATGGAACATTAAATATTTTGAAACAATTTTAAATTGTTTAAAGAATTTGGGCGCTCTGTCACGAATTGATTAAAGCGCCGAGAGCACATCAAAGCTTAACAAAGCGTAACAAAGCTTGACTCAAAAGGTAGGAAAGCTTAACAGAGCTTGGTTCAAAGCGGAGACCCCAGTCTTCACAGTCTGCCACCACTTGACAGGCTTCGGTAAGATTTGCTGCGATCTGGCATGAAGATCTGACTTGAGGTCAGACACTTTCATCAAGATCTGACACACTTTGTTACGCTTTCATAAAGGACTCTCACGCTTTCCCACAAATTGAGACGCTTTGATCAAGGATTGACACGCTTTGTCAGGCTTTGTTACGCTTGGTAAGCTTCCTCACACTCTCACGCTCTTTCAGCTCTCCTACGATACCCATGCTCTGTCTCCATTCCTATAAATAGCGCTGAGACTTGAGTACCACATCATGTCTTCTTCAGATAGATCATGCTCTGGTACTTCTGGATCTTGATTTTATGGATCTGCTGCATCTTCATATAGGCTCTGGATTAAAAGCGGCATGAAATCGGCGATCTCAACATTTTCCAATGCATAACAATGCACAACAGAGCTTGATAATCGTATCAGAGTCTGATTTAAAGCGTCATAATTGCATCAAAGCATAATAAAGCTTATCAAAGTGTGATTTCAAGCGTAACAAAGCCGGATCAAAGCCGGATCAAAGCGTGAGGAATCGTAACAAGTTGGGAAATAATTCGTCCCCCAAAGCAGCAACCAATTCGTAGGAGCTTATCAAAGCGTAACATTACTTAGGAGATCATGATATTTTTGGAAAAGTAAACAAAAATGATGGCGCTTTGCTCGCCAATTTAAAGCGTAGCATTCGCTGTTGGTGTGGACTAGGTTTTAGGAGTTCATTTGTTTTTGCAGGAAAACTCACAGCTGTGAAAATTGTGGGATTATTTTTACTGCCCAAGGATACAAGAAGCACATGGCAATTTGCGGAAAAGAAACCAGTCGTAGGAACAAAATGGAGGGACCCTATGAAATGAGTACTGACACTAGTGACGAAGAAGTGGAAGAAGGTCAGTTCACTAATAGTTAAACAAAAGTAAAACTGCTTACAGACACATATGATCTCGGGTGACAGGTCATCTCAACCCCAAGTCATCTCAACCCAGTCCAACTCAATCCCAAGTTAACTCAACCCCAAGTCAAGTCAACCCCAGTAAAACTCAACCCCAAATCAACTCAACCCTGTAAAGCTCAACCCTATTCATTTGTGCAATGTCTAATTAAATTTTTTATGACGAATAATTTAAGTCATTCATTCCTGAAAATCTAGCATTTTGCATGATACTTTGAATAGAAAGTTGTAAAAGTATTAAAAAAAAAAAACGGTGAAGCTCAATGATAATTCATCAAGTTGTCACTATTCTTTAATTTAAGACATCTTTTGAAATCAAATTTTAGATAATTTAGAAATAATTAACAATGTAATATAACTTTTTATTTATATGAACATGCATTAACAAAATCATTAACATTTAGTAATTAATAGACTGAAAGCATATAGGCGTAGCCAGGAGGGGTGCGCACACACACTCCCCCCAATTTTGAAGGAAGTTGCATCATTTTTTATCAAAACATATCTTTTTTGGCTCGCTTATGCCACGATCGGCACCCCCTGAATGAAAACCTGATTTTTTGGGCGATCGCATCCCTCCTGACTGAAAGCTGGCTATGCCCCTGGAAAGCAATGGTCATGTTCCAGTTTTCCAAATAATCACGAGTGTCAACCTCATATGAATTACAACAAAACAAATGCATTAGCAAGATTAATAAAATGACCCATATTTTAATCCCATTAGTACCATGTTGACATTTTGGAGTTAACTCATTATTAACTATAATTTAATAAAAAGACAGTGGTCTAAGAATGGAAATCACAAACTGAATAATCAGAATTATTTTTATGAAATAAACTTTCTTATAGGTTTATCAATATATAGAAATACCAATAGAATGGTATAGGGGTTGAGTTTTACAGGGTTGAGTTGACTTGGGGTTGAGTTTTACTGGGCTTGACTTGACTTGGAGTTGAGTTGACTTGGGATTGAGTTTTACTGGGTTGAGTTGACTTGGGGTTGAGATGACCAGGAAGCTGATCTCGCACTACTAAAATATAATCTGCATGCTTAACTGGATGGAGATCCTGAAAAGTCATTCTGAAAAACTATATACATGTACTACAAGTCTTGACATCATTTGAGTGAACAGTTAATCAATAAGATTGCTCTTTCTTACGTGCCGATGAGTGAAAAACATATTTGAACAATAGTAAATCACAGATTAACATCAAATGAAATGGTCCAGATTATGTCTGTTTTTTTATTTTAGTTCCAAGGACCACCAGAAGAGGTCAACGTGTTAGATGTAAGTAATTACTCCTTTAAACCACAGGGTGCAATAGAATAATTTTGGAGGATGACATTTTACTTAGAAATAGCAATAATTAAGCACAATAGCAATTTTGTTCATATTTGGTATGTGAGTACTTTAAGCATGTCTAATGACATTTTGGGTAGTAGGCGGCCATTTTGAAAAATGGTCGCCATTTTTCCGTGTGTTATTTAACATTTTTACTGTAACTCAAAAAGTGGTAGAGCAATTTTGTTCATATTTGGTACATGAACACTTTAAGCATGGCACAATGTCTAATGACATATTGGATAGTAGGTGGCCATTTTGAAAAATGGCCACCATTTTTATGTGGCCAAACTGCCCTAATTCACGTCACCATACTAGTCAATGGGCAAAAGGGCAAACGCCTGACTTTTTATCTCGAGTTATGGATATGTGGCCTCACTGGCCTATCTGAGGTTCTAATCCTATGTCTAAGCTACATTTTGACACTAAACTCAATAGGGGCCAAACATCAACTTTTTGAAATAATTGGTCAATTGTGACACTACCCCCTCTCTCTGCCGACAGTAATTGAAATTCACAAAAATGAAAGCAAAATTAATACGCCACTTGATTCGAAATTTTCCTTCAGATAACCCAAGTAAACGCATTTTCAGAAGAAATGGCATGTTGTCATTGCAAAAAGATGACAACTGTGCCTACATACTAGCTTACTGACTCGTCATGATCACAATTGTGTTGGGACTACATTCATTTTTGAAAACTACTTTTTTCTATTCAGTGGAAGTGACGTATTAGGGCATTTGGGCCTGGTGTTATTTTACATTTTTAATGTAACTCAAAAAGCAGTAGAGTGATTTTGTTCATATTTGGTATGTGAATACTTTAGCATGGCACAATGTCTAATGACATTTTGGGTAGAAGGCGGCCTTTTTAAAAAATGGCTGTCATTTTTACATTTTTTACTATAACTCGAAAAGTATTGGAGCGATTTTGTTCATATTTGATATGTGAATACTTTAAGCATCAGGCACATTGTCTAATAAAACTTTGGGGAGTAGTCGGCCATTTTGAAAATGGCCACCATTTTTATGTGTCTTATTTTACATTTTTTATTATAACTCAAAAAGTAATAGAGCGATTTTGTTCATATTTGATATGTGAATACTCGTAAGGATTGCATACTGTCTTACAGTCTTATGACATTTTGGGTAGTAGGCGGCCATTTTAAAAAATGGCTGCCATTTTAAAAAATGGCTGCCATTTACATGTACGTGTGTGCGATTTTTAAAAAATTTTATACGTGGCTACTTAAAAGCATATTACTTCTTCTAATGACAACTTGGCTAGTGACCAACCATTTTGAATGGTAGCCTTTCTTATGTGTGTTATTTTATGATATTTGCTATATATTTCGTTTGTAAAAATTCCAGCCATTTCTGTTCGATGGGATTTGCTACGATTTGGTGTTGCTGTTGTTCTGGTTTTCATTTACTTTCAAGCTACTATGGCAACTATTTCTTATTTAATGTTTCTGTTAATCTAAATATTTTTTGCTGGATTAAAAAACGCTCCATGCTGCACATTCTGTGAAAATTTCATAGGAAAATATTGAAAAATAAAGAAATTAGAGAGATATTGAACTTTATGATCAACCCTCGTATACTATGTGTTATTCCAGACTGATCTGAGACAAAGCTTCTCATTGGTGCCATTAGATAGAAACAACTTTTAAACCTATGATGTACTGGAACTTTCAGGATCTCCAACAAAACCAGAGATGTGAGCTAGGACAATATAATTACTACATGTATAATCTGAGACTATGACAAATTGAGAAACCAGAAAAGAAATATTGCATGCACAGGCACAGGCACACCATGTGATTTTATGAAGAAACTAGAATATTATTTCTGTACTGTGGTTAAGTAGTGTTTGTATAGAGAATGACATGTTGAGCAATGAAGCCCCAATTTTTTTTTTATAGTAGTAACCAGAAAATATATCCTGTTGAAGAACCCTATTTCTTATTACTTGGAACCTTTAGTATAGACATCGCTTTATTGATTTGTGTTTTTTAAAGTGTAACGGGGCGAGTGAAAGGCCCGTGGGTGGCAATCAAATGTAACAGTAGATGCAGTTAAAATGTTAAATATCTATTTGGAATACTCTGTGTATGGACAGTCACAAACTCTAGGCAACACTAACAAGTAAAGACAACACCCCAACTCAGCTACATGTGAGTGAATGCTATTATATGGAATACAAAAACAGTACGAAACAATCACACCATGAAAAGCTAAAAATCTGGTTTAAACAAAAGAAGCTAAAGTAGAAAGTATACAAAAGAATTGAAAACATTGGAATTAAATATTTCACAAACTGGTATAAAGTAATGAAGGGACCTGTTAAGATGACATGGATGGGGATTGGTCAATATGAATAGAAGAAATATAAACAATGTGAAAATGACCATGTTACAAAAGCAAATCTCTTGGAGTTTTTTTGAAGTTATGAAGGATTTAAGCAAGGGGCTATTTTCAAGAATTATTTTTGAATATTTTTCTAAAGAAATTTCTTCACAGCATACACATTTTGGATTGTCAAATTGTGTATTCATCAGATTAGATATTAAATGCTATTTTTAGATTTTTGGCTCACACAGTTTGCCTATGGGATCGACCAGGCGTCTGTCCGTCCGTCCGTTGGTCCGTCCGTCAACATTGGCCGCACAAATTAAAACTGCTATTCGGATTGAGTCCTATCTACATTCATAATGCCTATTTGACCTATCATCGCCATTTCCCAAGTTCGCCCGGTTTCCGAGAAATTGCTGATTTTGACATCAAAAAGTCAAATTTTCTGTAAATACTAGACACTTTGTTGAAGTAGTACTTTCAAATAACTTGTAGTAGTTGCTGTATATGCAACTTATGTCTTCTGAAAATTTCAGAGCTCTTTGAATTACAGTTTTTGGTGTTTACTCTATAAAATTTGACAAAAAGTAGGACTTAATCATTTTCAGGAAACTTTCTCATGTATAAAGTCAATGGCAGGTTTTGTGATTGACAAGTTTCTCAAAGTTTGCCTTATACTTGATCATTTCTTGCAATGAATTACATCATTACTATAGATTTAAGCATTCCCTACATATTGCTCAACATATGTCAGCATCAAATTTTTACTGTTTTTGAGATATTTGACGTCAAAAAACAGTAAAAATAAGTTATTTTTCAACTTGCTTCAATTTGACCAAATTTCTTTTGAAAATCATGTACAAGTTGCTAGGAGTTCAAATCTGACATTAGTTTTAGGATTTGACCTTTACTTGACATTCAGCTGCCCTGTCAACCCTCACGCATTAGGTGTGATTGTCACGCATTTGCTGGAAAAATAGAAATCACGCATCACTTTAGCGTGTATGATCAAATATCACGCAAATCACACATTTTGTTGAAATTTTTAAAATCGTTTTTTGTGAAATGCCGACATGGTAAAATACGGAGAAAAAAAACGAACGCATTCCGTTCGGTCTTTGCACCCGATTGCCGTTTATGTCACGCATTTGGTACAAAATATGTGTATATATCATGCATTTGTTTCGAAAATATTCCAGTGGAGACGATGGGCTCGATTGCCGTATCATACTGCATTTGAACGGCGATACGATGCCCATGTCAAGCAGCGTGCCTACTAGGCACGTAGTTTGAAACTCTGACAAACTGCGCGCATATTTCAAAATTGAAGACGGGGAGGACACGACTCCCAAAAAGAGCCAAAATACGAAAAATACAAGGTTAGTCTCGTTCTATAGATAGTACCATTCTGTGAAGATGAACTTAATTTACTCTTAGTACTCAATGTTTTTCCCGATGTTAACCTAGTTATCTCAATATAAGGGTCTTAAGTAACTTCTCTGCTCAAAATTTACAACTGTAAAGTTATATCTTTGTATGTTTATCGTCATATGCCGTTTATTCAGCCATTGTGTATGTGTATGCTAGAATATATAGGATCACTCCATCTGCAGCATAGTTTGTGTTCAAAACGATAATACGCCATAAACGTGATTTAAACATTTTTCTTGTCAAACTGCGCGCCTATATGCACATGTATTTCCCAAACTGCGTGCCTAATTGCCTATCCAAGCTTGTTTTGTATTATTAGAAAACGTAAGCGCAATATGTAAGGCACATATGTGTTTAATAGTAGAACCCTATAATTGAAACACTATGAGACTCCATCCACCAAATGGTGATCTGAAAATGAAATACTTTCTTTCGTTCGTTCCCAACTTAATTGTCACTTCTATTATACATTTTGACTTTCAATATGAAAATCTCATAAAATCTGACGATAAAGCAAAATTTCCAAAGCTATATGAAAAACACCTTTACGTGCCTCTGTAAAAAATTTCAATGATAATATGTAGTTTTAATAGTGTATGCGCACAGTTTATAATTTCTGGCTAAAATAGGCGCGCAGTTTGTGGTTTATTTCTTTTTAATCTCCTGATTATCTGTTTTATCTCGAAATATTTTGAATTATACATGATAAATGCGTAAGGAATTAAATATAAAACGAGTCTAAAGTATTTGTCATTTATGTTTAAAGTGCTAGATCGATTTACGTATAAATTCCCGTTAAATCAGTGACAAAAATGCCATTAATCTGCTTATGTTTGAAAACTTAGATTCATTTGCACATAGTTTTTGCTAGTATTTGCAAGATTTGTATATTCGCCACAGAATGAACGCATTGAACAAGAAAACATTTCTTGCAAATATTATTCTATAAATCTGTTTATCTCTGTTTTTGTGATTATATTGAGGCAACAAATAAGCATCTATCGGGGTTTATAGTTCTATGGAATCTAAACATTTGTACGTTGCCTTTCTTTTTGAAGTATACATATAGTGCATTTACCATTGTGATGGGGTTGGAAGTCAAACAAATCTGTATTTCTTGTTGAATATGAGTGTTTGCAGCCTTTTCTTGCTCATCACCGATGACTTGTGCAAAGTAAATGAGAATGGATAAGTTGATTATTATCTGTTATGTTGATCGTACAGTATATAACACCAATAGATCCATTAAAAAATCTTTCTATTTTAGTTTTAGTGACTATTGTTTTAGCACATACTCGGCTTATGTTTACTAATATATTATGATGTTGAATTTCAACACCTTTAATATAAAAGTCCATTGAGTAAATGAACTATGCATTCTGTATGTACAAGTATAATTATTTTTAGAAAAACGAAGCTTTAGAATACAAGCTATCAGAAGACAACATATTATTATTATTAGAAAACGTTATTTTTGAAATAAAATCACATTGAATAATGGTGAAAGAAACAAGTCAATTGTAAATGAAAAAATAGAGGGATAAAAATAATATACATAGCAGTTTCTACATATGAAATATGTCAAAACGTAATAATTCATATTTACTGCTTTATTCAATTTCACACATATTGTCTTATCACAATTAAATTCAGCATATCCTCATATGTTCTTATAAAAATGATTAAATGCCAAAGCACTTTTATCAGATGGAAAAATAGTAGGAAAGGTGTGAGGTTAAAAATAGTTAATATCGTTCTATAGATCTTGTAAACTGTGTCACATTGTACTCTTGTAGTAGAATGCTATACCCCTCCCTTGTTTAACTAGAACTTGTGAACTGACATATCAGAACTGCAAATCTTTTAGTCTTATTTCAACAATTTTAATATTACAAAGTATGTGAACTGCTCAATATTATATGCTAACATCTTCTGTACCACAAAGACACTATACTAGCAGATTAATGGCACTTGATTAAGTAATTTGTACATATCAATCTTTAATGGGGTTGGATTATGGCCCAGTAGGTCATGACCTAGTCTGGGTGAAAAAATGTTTTATCAAATATTGGAAATCACAGGGCCGTGATCACTTTGATTTTTTACCCTTTAAGCTTTTTGGTCACTCAAATGAATCAAATAAACTTGATGCCAAGATATTAAATTATGAGAAATTGAGATAATTAAGAAAACTTCCCAAATTCTTCACATTGCTATTGCTCCATATTGATGTGGACGTCAAAAAAGAGACTGACACTGGTGTGTAGATATTCAAATGAGCTAGAGTATCATGCCATCTTTAATCCTTAATTTTGATTAATTACAGAGAAATATGCATGTAGGTTACTAGGTCGGGCCATTTTACAACTGACCCATACAGCGGTGGAAAATGGCCCATGCCATAGACTTTACACTGCTGGGATAAACGAAAGAAACGGACACGAAACTGGAATGAAACAAGAATATACAAAAAATTACTGAATTATTTGGAAGAATTGATGACGTATAGTTCATTTGTTTGTTTATTTATTGATGGGGCAATATGTCACTTACGTCACAGATAATGGTATTATATTCCGAGAACCCATTAACAAAAGTGTTATATGACGTCATGATAAAACAACATTGAAAATGAGAATCTCTTAGTTGCTATGGATTAGTATGTCGTAAAGCGTCATATATCGTCATTCTGCGTCTTTGATATTTAATACAGAACACTTGTCAAACGTGAAGTTAACAAACGAGCTTTTCATGGAGGTGTTAATTTTCTATTTCTGTAATTTAAAAATATATCACCATATTGTCGTAAGGGTTACACTGGTATATCCTTAAATTACGTTTCAAAATACAGACTCCAACTTAAATGATGCAATGTTGTTAGGCACGCAGTTTGTGATCGAAACAAACTGCGCGCCTACTTAGGCGCGCAGCTTGACATGGGCACCGTACGTCATTATTTGTAATAACGGTTATCTTTTAAAAATCTAAACAATTCCGGACTTCAAATTCATATTAAATCATATAACATCCATAGTAAGTACAATTTTAAAGTATTTTCCATAAATAGGGGGTTTAAATTTAATGACATGAAATATTTTGTCCTAGATATCGTTTATTTCTACTCCAGTGCACAAGGGCCGATTACAACCTGAAATCCCTGAAATTGTGAAATTGCAACAGACCCTCCTTGTACTTAATTTCGGCAATATTAAATAAAGAGATGGCATGAATTTTTTTATTGATATTAGAAGAACATATATAAAATAAACTTTTCCTCGCGTGCATTTAAATTCTGCCGTGTGCAATTACCCCCGTGGGTTCTCAAAGTTTCACTTATTTTAGGCAAAAGACAAAAACGTACTTTGGGGGTTAAGGTGCTCTTCAGACATTCCAGAGGCGAGAATAACATGAAACCAGACAGGTTTTAATTTTAATTTTATCGTTTTTATAAATAACATCGTCTTCCTGCATGCATTTTGGGTTTGATTCATCCTTTACACTGACGTTTTAGGTATAAAAGTCTCGGGCTTTAAGTCATTACTAGATCGCGTTCAAAGTACTAAGTACCGTTCGCATTACCATTGTTCTCAGAGGGACAATGCTGCCTGGATAATTTCGTCCAGCAACCAATTCGCCCAGAAACAAAACCAAG